GGTCCGGCAGGCGGTGTGACCCGTGCTTTAGCAGCGCCCTGCGGCCGTCGCCGGGTGAACAGGACTCCGGGAGCCCGCTCTGCCCGTTCGGCCGCCGAACAGAAGCCGCGCTCGGCACGACCGGCTGGTCGGAGCCGGCGTTTTTCATGTAGCTGACCCTGTGCTCGGCTGCACACGGCGGCGCGCCGGCCGGCAGTCAAGGCCGCTCGGCGGCAGCGCCGTGTAATTGGCCGTAGGTACAGCACGCTGCACGACGGTCCGCGGCGCGCCCGAACAGCTCGGCGGCTCGGCCGGGACCGGTCCCGCGCTGCGGTATGGTGATCGGCCGCGGCCGACAGCAGCCGTTAGCTCGTCTAAGCATGATTGATTTCCAAACGTGCGCCGCGTACTCACCGGCACCGTAGTGCAGATCGCCGCTATAGTCCCAGCGCAGTGGGCTGATGGAGCACAAGCGGACTGAGGGAACTCATAACTGGAGGTGGCAAAATGTGGACCCGAGGAACCGGTCCATGGAACCAGTCTGGATCCATAAGGGTCCAGATCGGTTCCTGGAAACTTTTTGACGGGTCCAACCGGATTCTACCATAAACCATACTTCTTATCGCATACCTATTAAACTTGATTGCAAAATATAGAGTGAATGACAAGAAAACCAACATTTGCCCAAGCTATGATTTTTTGCACACTGCTGCTCGTAAGCATTCCCCGTTATAAAAAAAATTGCTTGATGCACCAAATGATACCAAACAGTTTATATTCGTTGACTATTGGGGAACGGGTCCAACTGGTTCCGATTCTACTTTGACCGGGTCTGGCTGGTTCTAGAAATGTCCAGTCGGTCTGGTTCGAGTCTGGTTCCAAAAATGTTCACCTTTTGCCATCTCTGCTCATAACCTCCACACGGTGAGCTGACGGAGCCCGAGCAGCGGCGTCTCCCGGTCAGCGCTGCAGCGCTACGGCGTTTTTTTCCTCGCCTGCGACAAGCTGCTGCAGCCGACCGGCCGGCCGTCCCTGACTTTGTACAGTTTTACGGCGGGTCAGCTACCGGTACCGCGCCGGCCTTCACCGGAGTGGAGGTGGGGCGTTCAGGACGGTACTGGTACCGCGCCGGCCTTCACCGGGGTGGGTGGGGGGGGGGGGGGGAGAGGGATCCAGGACGGTACCGGTACCGCGCCGGCCTTCACCGGGGTGGGGGTGGGGGGGGGGGGGGATCCAGGACTGTACTTCACCGGGAGGCCGTCCAAGAGTCCAAGACGGGATGACTGACAGTCTCCCTTCCCCGGGACCCGGTGACAGCAGGAACTCAGAGCTGCCAGAAGCCCGTCCGTGAGGGAGCGATGGCCGCACCACCGCTGTCCGGCCCGCACCCAGCAAACCCAACCACTGCAAGCCAACGACCACAGAGTTTCAATGGAAGAACCCCTCTGATCTGTAACGGAGCCTTACCAAAATCTCGTTATACGTACATAGTTGATATATTGGCGGTTTCCGGTACCACAACAAATGCATATCAGTAAAAAAGGCAGGCTGATGACAACGGCTAAAATATTGCTGACATGTCACAAAACGGCCCAGCGAGATAAAAAATACCTTTCTCCATTAGCACTCCCTCCCCCTCTCACTCTCTCTCTCTCTCTCTCTCTCTCTCTCTCTCTCTCTCTCTCTCTCTCTCTCTCTCTCTCTCTCTCTCTCTCTCTCTCTCTCTCTCTCTCTCTCTCTCTCTCTCTCTCTCTCTCTCTCTCTCTCTCTCTCTCTCTCTCTCTCTCTCTCTCTCTCTCTCTCTCTCTCTCTCTCTCTCTCTCTCTCTCTCTCTCTCTCTCTCTCTCTCTCTCTCTCTCTCTCTCTCTCTCTCTCTCGTTGTTCGTTGGATGCATGCTAATAGTGTCTCGACACTTCACCCTTAATTACGATGGAGGGCTGCGTCTGATTCAATAACCGACTCGGCGCACTGGATGGGCCAGCGGCCGACACCGGACACTGCGAGCGGCCACCCGATCCACCGGCGCGCCGCCACATACCGGGCTCCCAGCGCGCCGGCCTGAGAGCGGCCGCTGCCGCCCGGTACCGATACGGCGCGGGACGGCAGGTCACAGACACTGGCACCGGCCGGCGACCCCCGGGACACCTGAGCGCGCCCCCGCCACCGCCACCGCCGCCACCGGCAAAAAGGACCAGCGGCGGCACCACAGCGCACAGCGCCGCCCACCGCCGCACGGCCCCGCCGCCGGGTCACGGTGGGTCGAGCGAGGCCAGAGGTCAGACCACCGCGCCGGTCAGAGCAGAGGTCAGACCAGAGGTCACACCAAAGGTCAGATCAGAGGTCAGAGCAGAGGTCACACCAAAGGTCAGATCAGAGGTCAGAGCAGAGGTTACACCAGAGGTAAAACAGAAGTCATACCAGAGGTCACACAGGTCATACCAGACAGAGGTGACACCAGATGTCACTTTACAGATCACAACATAGGTCACATCAGAGGCACACATCATGCCAAGGCAGCGGAGAAGCCAAGGCTCAGGTCAGAGCAGAGGTCAGAGCAGAGACCAGACCTACACCGAGCGGTTAGCGACAGAGGCTACGTAGGGGCCGCTGTCAGCAGGCGCCGCTGGCTCCAGGTGACCCGAGAAGGGACAGTATGGTGACCGCCGCCGGCAGTGAGGAAACCGGCACCGCCGTGTGGGCCGCGCAGTGCCAGGGGCCGGGTCCGATAGTTACGATGACAGCGCCCAGGACAGGGAGGGGCACGGACGGCGGACCGCGGCAGACCAGCACCAGACCAGCCGGACAACGTACCGCGCTTAACCCGCGCCCCAGTGTCAGTCTGGATTTTCCACGACCTGGTGTGTGTGTGTGGGGGGGGGGGTGTTTGAACCCCCCCCCACTAACTCGGCTCCTAGGCATCGTAGAAAGAAACGGAAAAAAGCAATGGAAAGCTCGTCAAAAATCATTACGAATTTACTTCAGTCATTTTTTTACCTCAGGTCAATATTGAGGTCACCAGAGGTCAATGAAAAAAAAGTTTTGAAAATGTCACTTTTTCAATCATCTGCGTTATTTCGTAAAATAATGAAGTGAGAGTAAGATCCAACTAGGTGAGAAGAGCCAATATAACTGGCGACAGGGCACAAATGTAGGATTTGTGCTTAGGTCATTATTCGTGGTCCAGAGGTGAGAGGTCCAATACACCAATACCTGCCTATGCAGTACCGTCCAGACCAGATGACCTGATATGACCTTGAAAGGTCAAGATCATAAAATAGTCTTGTAACCGCCTCTCCTTTTATGAAAACACATCTAACACAACTTATCAACGTTTCCTAGCCAGTAGCTATGACACATCGTAGATACCGCCTTTTCCCCATAGGTTTAAAATGGAGGCACCCAAAAAATGATCTGACCCGAGGTCACCGATATCAAAATTCCGAGAAATACGAATTGTAGGTACCAATGAGTTATTGAAGTCCTGAAAGTTTCAAAACTTTCTGTCAACCACTATGGCCGTGGCTGGACCCCAAAGTTTTTTGGAGGTTGGGTCACTTCGATTGACCTGGTGACCTGACCTGAGGTGACCTGGGTCTAAAATTTTCAGGGAAGGTGGGGAAAGGATGCCCGGTAAGGTATGCCAAAGAACCGCAGGGGGGGGGGGGGGCGGGTGTTCAAACACCCCCACACACTTGGGCGCGGGTTAAGAATCGCGTTCCTTTGTTCCCATCGCGGCATGGCTACCTACAGGGTGTTTCACAATAAATGCTACTTTTGAATAGCTTAAATGAAGATCTTACTTGTTCGTAAGCGCGTAAATTTTATATGCATTTTGCTGCAAATTTGTAGCGGTTTTTGGTCCTTACATTTTTTTTTTACAAACCGTCAACGGTTCCATCAGTATGGACGTGCAATGCCAACACCGTCAAAACGGGTCAATTCGCCGTGTACAGATGATGAGGCGTTATGGGTGGTCATGCATTACGGCGCTTTGCGGAGTCTGACCGCAGTGCGACGGAGTTTCGGTAGCCATTTAAAAGGAGGAAGGATATTCCGTCAAAAATGTCTTTCAAACGGGTAGTAGAAAGGTTCCAGAAGACTGCAAACACGAGACCAGCTCCGACTCCTGGCCGGACGGCGATCCCAGAGAATCTGGTTGAAAAAGTCAGACGGAAGGGTGGCATAGTGGAGAACCCGTGAAGGGTGCTGAACTGAAAGTTATATGTTCATCAGTCCTACTGTTCTGCTGTCTCATGAGGTAATACTCATGAGCCATATTGTAATACATGTCACTGAAACATCGTCGTTTGAAAAGCAACATTCATTGTGAAGGACCCTGAAGCTTAACAGCGAATTGACCTGTTTTGATGGTGTGCACATTGCACGTACATAAAGAATGCAGTTGATGATTCGTCATAGTTTTTGTAAGGATAAAAAAACCGAAAGAATTTGCAACAAAATGAATATGGAATTTATGGGCATACGAATAGCTGAGGTCATTTTAAAAGCTTATCAAAAGTAACGTTTATTGTGAAACACCCTGTACATGAGTTTAGGTTGTCACAAGCTGGTCCGAAATATGACACATGTACGGGCACGTGTCGTTTGTTCCACGTGAGTAGCCGCCTCGCACGCAAACCGAGCTCTGCTGCCGTGCACCCAAAGTCGTGGACAACTGACCAACACCAAAGACGATACAATGCCGCCGATCGGGGGATGGACTTCAGTGTGTTCCAGGATGTGAGAGCACATCATCTCACACATATCCAGAGCTGGCTGTTCAGCCAATTTACGCAAACCCTGCAATGCCAGAGGCCGGTAGAGAAACATTTAGCCGGATTCGCCTGGGCTCGCATGTTCCAAAAAACAGGGGCAAGAAGAAGAAAGGCAAGAAGAGAAAGGGATACATGCGTTTGCTCGTGTAGATGAATGCAGAGCACGAATAGTTACTTCATTGCCTGTTGACGAAGACTCTCCGGACCATTTGTAGCGAATAACGCACACCAAATAGAATCACTGGTAAACATAAATTCACATATATTCATTCGAAATGGGCAGTACAAAACGTCCAAAGCACCTCCGACGAGCGGAATTGCCAGAAATCACACGACGAACGGCCCGGGGCGTCTGCGTCCGCCGGCTCGCCGGACTGAACCTCCCGCTGCTGAGCCGGCTCGCCGGACTGAACCCCCGCTGACTGAGCCGGCTCATCGGACTGAGCAGCCGACTGAGCCGGCTCATCGGACTGAGCAGCCGACTGGCCGGACTATGCCGGCCGATGACTGAGCCGGCGTCGGACTGAACTTCATCCGGCCAGCAGGTCTCGCAGAGCCTCACTGGTTGCTGAGCTGACCTGAGCTCACAGGTCCCCCAGCTGACCTGACAGGTCGCCCAGCTGACCTCCCTGGTCGCCCAGCTGACCTCACTGATCCCCCACCTGACCCCCCTGGCCGCCCAGCACCAGCGCGTGCAGCTGACCGGCGGTGAGGACAAAGATGGCGCCGGGGGCGGCCGTCACCCCGAGAATCGGCGCCTGGTCCTCCAGACTGACCACCTGCTGGCGAGACACCTGGCGGCCGCCGAGCGAACCATCAGTACACAGAGGGCAGCACAACGGTACACAGAGGGAAACATCAGCATAAGAGAGGGAAACATAAGCACAGAGAGGGCAGGACGACGGTACACAGGGGGAAACACACAGCACACACTACACAGAGGGAAACACACAACAGTACACATCACACAGAGAGAAATACACAGTAGTACCACATCGGTACAGAGGGAAGTATCAGTATACACTATACAGACGGCAGTACATTCGTGCGCGGAGGGTAGCACATCAACATTCAGCAGATCCTTCACAGAGGGAGATGCACATCAGTACACAGAGGGAATCAACAGTACACACAAGAAAGCACAACAACATTAAGAGGGAAACACATCACTCATCAATATGTACAGAGGTCAGCTGCAGCTCAGCAGTCAGCAAATCGGTAAACCGAAGGAAACAAATCAGTTAATATATGGAGACGTCAGCATAGAGAAGGAACACATCAGAAAACAGAGAAAAAACGGCATTACACAAAGAGAAGCGTCAGTTCACAGAGGGAAACACGCAACAGTGCAGAGGGAAACAAACAACACTACACAGAGGTTATAACAGTACACAGAGGGATCAGGGAAACACACATCAGTAGACAACAGTACACGGAGCGAAACACACAGGAGTACGCAGAGGGAAATAACTGCAGCACACAGAGGGCAGCATAGCCACCCCAGCTGGATCGCAGTTCGAGCACCGTTCTGCAGCGTCCGGCCACGACTCCGCGTGACAACTGAACAATTTCAGAGTGCTGACATGGTTACAACTAGGTGAAACGTTCGGGCTCAGAGGGTTGTCAAGGCTCAGTGAGCACACCTCCACCAGCCGCTGACATTTGGCTTAAGGCCTCCCGTCGATCCCTTAGCCCACAGCGGGTGACTCCACACACCCTCTACCCCACCCGACCCGACCTGGCCGGTCGGCCGGCGCGCCCGGCCCTACTCACCTCTCTGACGCGCCTCCCGGACTTTCTGTTGCGCAGGTCTCCGTCGACAGCCGACGGCTGGTGGTAGATGTACACGTGCCGGGACGTCTCACACACCAGCGCGTACGAGAGGTCTGAGGGGGGCGGGACACCGGTCACACTGGGGCGGGACACGGGCCACACTGGGGCGGGCCACGGGCCACAGACCAGCGCGTACGAGGGGTGTGCGGGGAGCGACACCGGTTACTGGGGTGAGATACGAGACATTGGGGCGGAAGGACCGATGTCCTCCCTCCCCAGTGACCTGGAGGCGTGGATGGGCCTATTGTCATAACTAGCAATAAGTTAGCCATAAGTTATATGCCAGACAGCCGCAGTATGCAAACAAAGCCAGTCCGGGCTCCCGCTATACACTACAAGTGCAGACCACTGTCCACTCCCGCTATACAGTCCGCAGTTCTGGAAACACGCAGTGACAGACGCCGCAGTGGCGGACGGGGCGCGCTGAAGGACGGGTCGCTCTGCCCGGACCGGGGACGTCTGTCTGTCACCGACCGACACCCACCTGTGGCGCAGGTGATGAACTTGCGCTGCTGTTTAGACGCCTGCACGAAGCCGAACGCCTGCAGCGTACCCACGTGTTCACACTGGTACCTGCGGGAGGGGGGGGGGGGGAGCGAGTGAGGGGGAGCGGTACCAGGGGAGGGGGGAGTGAGGGAAGGCGCGCCTAATTACCACAGAATACATATACTACCCTGGAAAAAAATTGGCACCTTCCGTGAATAAATAATGATTTATGAAACCAATGATACAAAATATTGAGGGCCGCCGCAGTTCCACCGTTAAAACAAAACCACCATCCGACATCAAAACAGTCAGACATCTGAACTGAGCTGTCACCCTCACTGTCACCAGCGGGACTGACTGAAACCCTGGACTGTCACCCCGAGCAGACCTTTCACCCTTGACTGACCTGACACCCAGAATTGGCCTATCATCATGGATTAACCTGTAACCCTTGACTAACCTGACATACTGGACTGACCTGTTATCCTGACAGCTGGGCTGCCAGACGAGTCCGTCGACATCGTGTCTGATGCAGAAGGCCGGTGGTTCGGCGGCCGACAGGCGGACCGTCATCAGGTACTGGTGACCGCTCAGACTGACCTGGTGTAACATAACACACTGTCATCAGGTACTGGTGACTGACCTGGTGTAACACACTGTCATCAGGTAATGGTGACTGGCCTGGTGTAACACAACACACACCGTCATCAGGTACTGGTGACCGCTCAGACTGACCTGGTGTAGCACAACACACACTGTCATCAGGTACTGGCGACTGACCTGGTGTAACACAACACACATTGTCAGATACTGGTGACTGACCTGGTGTAACACAACACACACTGTCATCAGGTACTGGTGACTGACCTGGTGTAACACACTGTCATCAGGTACTGGTGACTGACCTGGTGTAACACAACACACACTGTCATCAGGTACTGGTGACTGACCTGGTGTAACACAACACACACTGTCACCAGGTACTGGTGACCGCTCAGACTGGCCTGGTGTAACACAACACACTGTCATCAGGTACTCGTGACTGACCTGGTGTAACACAACACACACCGTCATCAGGTACTGGTGACCGCTCAGACTGACCTGGTGTAACACAACACACACTGTCATCAGGTACTGGTGACTGACCTGGTGTAACACAACACACACTGTCATCAGGTACTGGTGACTGCTCAGTGCTCAGCCCGGCCCCCCAATCTCTGTACTCTGCCGCAGCCCAGCTCTGCCCGTCGGACGCTCGGACGCTCACCTCGTGGGTCACCGCCCCGGTCTCTCCGTCCATCCGGTAGAGGGCAGCACTGTGCTCGGGCAGGTCATCGCACTCCTCCACCTCCGTGCCGACCACCGGTCCGGGCCGGTCCGGGTCCGCCTCCTGGGAGACACACAGACCGGGAGGGTCGTCACACACAGTAGGTACCACCGGTCCGGGTCCGCCGCCTGGGAGACATACAGACGGGGAGGGTCGTCACACACAGTAGGTATCACCGGTCCGGGTCCGCCTCCTGGGAGACATACAGACGGGGAGGGTCGTCACACACAGTAGGTATCACCGGTCCGGGTCCGCCTCCTGGGAGACATACAGACGGGGAGGGTCGTCACACAGTACCACCGGTCCGGGTCCGCCTCCTGGGAGACACACAGACGGGGAGGGGTCACACACAGTACCACCGGTCCGGGCCGGTCCGGGTCCGCCTCCTGGGAGGCATACAGACGGGGAGGGTCGTCACACACAGTAGGTATCACCGGTCCGGGTCCGCCTCCTGGGAGACATACAGACGGGGAGGGTCGTCACACACAGTAGGTATCACCGGCAGTGTCCTGATTTTCGTGAATTTGGGTGGAAACCCACACCTAACAGATTCTCTTTGTGACGTCCCGGAAAGCCAAACGACGTCCCTGACAGATAAAAGTCGATAGGTATATAGAACACCAAAAGCAAACTAACAAAAAGAAATATCACCTCTGTAGCCTAAAAACACGGCTATGCAAAATGACAATAAATATATCCTAAGTCCTCAAAAACTCACTCTTACACTCAACTCCCCTTTCCTGGCCAACTGCCGCAACAGTAAACAACGCGGTTTTATTTTATTTTTGTTTTCTGTGCGTCATATATGGATAAGTTTTTTCCTTTACCATGTGAAGGTAATGCTGCCATATGAAGGAGAAAAGATGTCGGAATAGAGGGATCTGAGGACGTCGTTTTCCACTTTTCAGTTTTAGTAACTGTGCAGTGTATAGATAAAAATTAATCATGCGAATATATTACTTGGACATTTATCTATAAGCACGCAACATACCTTTTGTATCAAATTACTGTAACATATTTAATTATTTTTTCCCCTCAGAAGGTCACAGTAACGGGTTAGCGCTGCCCCTTGAACATGCCCTTCAAAAGTAGTTAATTTTGCATATGTTGATAGTGGTTGGGGGAAAAGTTTAATGTTTATCTGTTTGAATTAAAATAAAGCCACCGAATTTCAGCAGTATTAATTCAAGTATGTCGTCCTTGGGGCTTAAAAATGCACGCAATGTTGGGGACGTCGATTGACCTTGTTATTCCCATTTAATCGACGTCAGTACAAAACTGAAAAGTGCACAATGATTTCACATTTTTTTCCAGCCAAGAAAAATTCAGCGTCCACCTTGGAGTTTTCTTAATTGAATTTCATAACAGGAAGCTATGGAAATTAATTTTCCGAGTTGTTTTCCACCTCTTTGTTTGGACGTCTGTTTTTTTACATCAGTCCTCTTGCTCGATATGATATCCCTCTTATGACGTCAACATTTAGTGATAGCCGCTGGCTCTTGGGCTGATTTTTGTTGAAGCATATTTGTTGTTGACTGTTATGTACGATCATGGACAAGAACTAGACATCTTCAAAGTGTTGTTTTGGTGTTTGTGGTGAATGCTTGAATTTTGTATTTTACTAGGGGTAAACTGGCATTACTTTGTGTCTATATATGATCATTTGAGGTGCCTTGAGGTGGTATTAGTCAATATTGCCAGTGAAAATCGCTAATTTTAAGAGATTTAGGTAAGGGCTTCAGTGGCTTAGGCTCCGCACCGATATCGACGTCCTTTTGAAATAGCGACGTCCTCGCGGCTTCAATCACACTCTCCGAAAAATCAATTTCAGGACACTGATCACCGGTCCGGGTCCGCCTCCTGGGAGACACACAGACCGGGAGGGTCGTCACACACAGTAGGTACCACCGGTCCGGGTCCGCCTCCTGGGAGACATACAGACGGGGAGGGTCGTCACACCACACACAGTACCGGGCCGGTCCCGGTCCGCCTCCTGGGAGACATACAGACGGAGAGGGTCGTCACACTCAGCCCCGCCGACGGTGAGGGGTCGCACGGACTGTCGAGGAGCGGACTGATACGTATCCGCCCGGCGGTCGGCAGCAGACTGCTGTGGTCGCCAGCCTGCGGTCCGCACCCCGCGCAGTGGGGCGGTTCGATAGGATCCCTCTCAGGTGCGACTGCGGTGCCGTGGGATGGGCGTTTCAGTACGGCCCCTCACCGGCTTGCGTTCCGTTGTATCCATGGCGTCGTCGCCGGCCGTGTCGGCGTCGGTAGTCTGCTGGCCGCGCGTGTCGCCGACCAGCAGCTCGGCCCAGCGCTGGCCGCGCTCCACCTTGGCCAGCACCAGCTCCAGCCTGGGGAGGGACGGGGACGGCAGGGTCAGCGAGGGCAGGCCAGCACCAGCTCCAGCCTGGGGGGGGGGGGGGACGGGAGGATCAGCGGTCAGCGCCAACCAGAGCCGCCAGCGCCGCCAGCCAGTCGCTCTCGCCTTACCAGGGCGGGGGAAGCAGACAACACCCGCCACGGTTCGAGATCACTCTACCGATTACATGCCAATGGCACGGAACACATTCGGCAGACTATTAGCTCTCATAAGAACCCTACCCATAATCTGGCTAAAAAATCAAACAGCCAACTCTGCCCACGAGGTAAGAAACTATCGCTTTCCAATCATCCAACGGTCACTTCAATTGAGCACTATCCACCACCCAACCTCCCTCCTACCTGCCGTCGTCCACGGTCCAGGTGGTGCTCTCGTCTCTCCTACCTGCCGTCGTCCACGGTCCATGTATCCCTCCCCTCCTACCTGCCATCGTCCACGGTCCAGGTGCTCTCGTCTCTCCTACCTGCAGTCGTCCACAGCCCAGCTGGTGCTCTCGTCTCTCCTACCTGCCGTCGTCCACGGTCCATGTATCCCTCCCCTCCTACCTGCCATCGTCCACGGTCCAGGTGCTCTCGTCTCTCCTACCTGCAGTCGTCCACAGCCCAGCTGGTGCTCTCGTCTCTCCTACCTGCCGTCGTCCACGGCCCAGGTGTTCCCTCCTACCTGCCGTCGTCCACAGTCCAGCTGGTGCTCCCGTCTCTCCTACCTGCCGTCGTCCACAGCCCAGCTGGGGCTCCCGTCTCTCCTACCTGCCGTCGTCCACAGTCCAGGTGCTCTCGTCCCGTCGGATGGCGGCCGGTAGCGCGCCGCGCAGCACCGTCTGCTGGCCGGCCGACACGCTCAGCTCACTGGGCTCCAGCACCACGCGCACGCCGTCGGCGCAGCCCACCGGTGACGTCAGCTGAACGGTGACGTCATCGGCCGTCTGACTCCAGCGGTACAGCGGCTCTGTGGCGGACAGAACACGCCGTCAGAGCACACAGAACACGCCGTCAGAGCACACAGAGCACACAGAACACAGGGCGGCGGTCAGAGGCCGGCGGACAGAACACGCCGTCAGAGCACACAGAGCACACAGAGCACACAGAACACACAGAGCACACAGAGCACACAGAACACGCCGTCAGAGCACACAGAGCACAGGGCGGCGGTCAGAGGCCGGCGGAGCTGAACCGCGGCGGACAGAACACGCCGTCAGAGCACACAGAACACACCGTCAGAGCACACAGAACACGCCGTCAGAGCACACAGAACACGCCGTCAGAGCACACAGAGCACACAGAACACGCCGTCAGAGCACACAGAGCACACAGAGCACACAGAGCACAGGGCGGCGGTCAGAGGCCGGCGGACAGAACACGCCGTCAGAGCACACAGAACACACAGAACACACAGAGCACACGGCGGCGGTCAGAGGCCGGCGGACAGAACACGCCGTCAGAGCACACAGAGCACACAGAGCACACAGAGCACACAGAGCACAGGGCGGCGGTCAGAGGCCGGCGCAGTCCGAACCATCCGCCGCTGGGGACAGGGCGCCAGGGAGGTCGCAGCCGGGGAGGCCGGAGCCGGGGCACCAGGGATGCCCGCGGAGCAGGGAGACAGGGAGGCCGGAGCCGTCAGCCGGGGCTGCTGAAAAAACGAGTCACGTGGTCTCCCAAGGCGTGGTAACGCGCGGCAGAGAAATAAAGACGGTGTGGTAGAGAAGCTTGTAAAAGCTATTTATAATTTATATACACTGTGGTAAAAGCTAAACATCATCCGGTACCGTCGGACACCGGACTGGTTTGTTACATAACTAAACACGGCGATACTCAGTGACCAAGGAGCGTGCTACGACTAAAAGCCACAAGAAATTAACCCGCGAGTTGCTGGGGGGGGGGAGGGGGGGGCGTTAAACGCCCCCACTTTTTTCGCCGCGCCATAGCATAAAAACGGGCGCCAAATTTTGGGTACCTGTAGGGCATTGATTTAAGTTTATTGGGACAAAGTTTCAAAAAAATCGGTCCGAAAAATTTTGAGATATCGAGGTTTTAGTGACGTCATGATTTCTGAGTTTTCGACCAAAAACGGCATATGTTCAAAAAATGATATAAAATCACAGAACAGACATACAGACATGCAGTAAACGCCATGAGACTGCCAATACCATGAACAATCAAATGGCTATCTTCGATTATTGATTATCGTTCCGCATTTTCCAAAATCTTGAACTGAATCTTGGCAATTTCTCGTGACTACTTCACGACCATGATACATGCATTTCTTAAATTGAACTTTTTGAGCCAAACACGTACACATATGATAAAATGAATGTCACCATCGTGTTCTACGCCCCAAATTACCCATAAAACATATGTCACGGGCTGCGAATATCAGTTTTGATTTTCGGGGATATGTGCCTACCCGGTTGACCTGACCTTGACCCTGACCTATGCTTGACTGACCCCTACATGGAGCTGACACTCTTGTAGGCCCTATATGATGGATTGTGCACCGTTTTGACAGAGTTTATGACGAGAGGCGCCCATTGCGAGGTCCTGAAGTCCATGCTACTGAAAGCCCGATTTCAGGTGTTTGACCTGACCTTGACCCGACCTGTGACCTCACAATTCAACTTTAAAGTACTCATCTGAAGCGTCTCGTCACGTTCTTTCGTTTGCCGCCTCGTGCGTTTCGCTGCGCCTATTGGTTCTCGAGTTATCGGCTGGGGGCGTTTAATGCCCCCCCCCCCCCAGCAAACAGTGGGTGGCGAAATACCCCAGCAACTGCCGGGTTAACCCTCGCCCGTAAACGGTGTTTTGCCACCTTCGCCCATGCAGGGGGGGGGGGGGTTGGTGCGACCCCCCCCCTGGCGTTTGAAAACGGAGGGTCGTAGAGCTTAGCGGAAAAGACCAACGGATTGCTCTCGACGAGATCTCGCGATTGGTGGTATATTTTTTGGTCCTAGGTCAACATTTGACCTACTTATGACCGGTCAAAGGTCAAATTTTCGGGAAAATCTAACTTTTTCAGATTTCCGCGCCGATTGCGGCAAAACGGTAAGAGATATCGACTTGAAACCTTCACTATCGTGATCCTTGATCAATTCTCTATCGTTTGGTGTGTATTTCGATGTCATAACTCTAAAAATGATGCGTTGGGAGCATCGGAAGTCTGCAAGGTCATTTGTGCATTGGGTCACGTCAGGCGTGTGACGTCACTGACCTGACCCTGACCCAAAATGAACTACAAGAAACAACCGACGATGCCTGAAATGGATAGCAAATTCGAATTCAGGGCATCAAAATACCCCGAAAAGGCATACAAGTGCAAGAAGTCATTACAGGTCAACCGAGGTCACTGACCTGACCTTGACCTTTAGTAACCTTGAAAAGGTCAACGGACATTGTGCCAATGTCAAATCAGCCAGTTATGATTCTAAAACAATCCATCAGTGTGTCAGGTCAGTCGACATTTATACCAATGTGAAGCAATCTCCAATTTAGCGTAAATCTGGCCGGAGGTTGTTCCCTTTATGACGTCATAACTCCATGACCTGACATGACCTTGACAAAAAAATACTAAAAGTTGCGCAAAGGATGCCTCATAGGGTACTGAAAATTTGAGCAAGCTATCTGAAACGGTTCGGCGTGTAGCTAAGAAAAAACCTCAGGGGGGGGGTTGCACCAACCCCCCCCCCCCCCCTACATGGGCGAGGGTTAATATCAAGCCCAGCTGTGACTTTAAAACAGGGTCTCTCCGTGCGGCGGTTGCAGCACCAGCCACTACAATAATCACAAAGTCCAGCAACTGGTTACATACAGTGCGGGTCACGCAATGCGCTCCAGTAAACAGCCGAGGCTCACCCTGTGGTTCCGTCTGGTTCCCGGCGCCGGACCCCGCGCCGGTGTCGGCAGCGGCAGCGGTAGGGGCGGCCGGTCTCTGCGAGTCGCGCACCAGCGCCGCCGGCCGGTCGGCAGCCACGCAGAGCGCGCCGCCGGACTGCTCCAGACACGAGTAGTGCACCGTGCCGGCGGTGGCCGCCTGCCGCAGCCGCGTCACGCGCCACCCACAGTCGGCGTCTGTCCGACAGAGGGGAGGGGGGGGGTAAGGGTACAGTAGCCACCCACAGTCGGCGTCTGTCCGACAGAGGGGGGGGGGGGGTTAAGGTACAGCCGCCGCCCACAGTCGGCGTCTGTCCAACCACGGGGAGGGGTGTTGGGTTCCTTCCCACAGTCGTCACCCCTATTTTAGTCGTGCGAAGGTCAAACAATAAATGCACTTTATTTTAAATCTATCACTCAAAGCACTAACTGTCTGACAAGATAAAGAGAGTACCTACTCCTCTTTAATGTCTTGTTCACGGAGTTGTTAGTTGCGGACCGGGGCTGAGCCCGTCCGAACGGCCTGTCCTCTGGACGGGCTCAGCCACGGCGACTCTCTAGGGTGTCTGCCCAGACCAATGTCTCCCCCTAATTCCTATCATCCTTCCGGCTCTGCAATGGTCTTGTCAGACCGAAAGGGCCTAACCCCCAATAAACACAACAAAAAAAAAAAAAAACAAAAAAGTTGTTAGTTGTGTTGGGGGTCGGTATCGGACCACGGTCCGCCTCTGCCGTCGGTGCCCGGTCCAGCGCCCACCTGCCGTCGGTGCCCGGTCCCCGCCCACCTGTCTCCAGGGTATCGGACCACGGTCCGCCTCTGCCGTCGGTGCCCGGTGCCCACCCACCTGTCTCCAGGGTATCGGACCACGGCCCCTCTCTGCCGTCGGTGCCCAGTCCCCGCCCCCTCTGCCGTCGGTGCCCGGTCGCCGCCCACCTGTCTCCAGGGTCAGCCAGGTGAGCAGGTTGAGGAAGGTGGCCTCGGCGCCGCCGTCCGGCCGCCACTCGGGCACCGTCTCCTTCTCCACCACGTGCTCGGTGAGCGCGTGCAGCCGGCCGGCCGGGTCCAGTGCACAGTGGGCCAGCACGAACCCGGCGCCGGCCAGTGGCTCCAGGCGGGCCGCCACCTGACCGGAACGGGATCGCCGAGCACGGGTCAGAGACGGGACAGGCGGGACTGGCGGGATCGCCAAACACGGGCACCGGCTACAGGGCAAGGACAGCGGACAACTGGACACAGCATACCTAGTGGCTGCAGCTAACACAGTTTGCTTCCGAAACACAGACAGAATACCGGGCACTGCTCTAATTCACACATCATAAGAGCATCGGTAAAATGCCATAGAACGAGAGTAGCACATGAAAATCAGTAAATAAATTAACATCACGAAAGACGGCCACATCAACGCGTAAGTAGAGCTCGTGTTTGACAGCGGCAGCAGCGGGTGAGTTGAGCTGGCGTATGACGGTGCTATCGCCGGCGGCCGTACCTGCCAGGGCTGGTGCTGCCGGCGGTCCCCGGTCTGTGCCACGTACAGCGAGCCGCGCCCGTCAGCGACCAGCGCCAGCCGCTCGGAGGCCAGGCAGAGCGAGGGGTGGGTGGGCGCGCCGGCAGCGTCCGCGGCGCCGCCGGACGGCAGCTGCAGCACCGCCGTGTCGCGCAGACGGGACGGCGCACCCGGCGACTGGCGGCACGGCCAGCGTGAGCTCCGGTCAGCGCCCGGCAGAGCGGGAACGGCAGTCAGTCAGCAGAGGGAATGGGAGTCAGTCAGCAGAGGGAATAGGAGTCAGACAGCAGAGGGAATAGGAGTCAGACAGCAGAGGGAATAGGAGTCAGTCAGCAGAGGGAATAGGAGTCAGACAGAGGGAATAAGAGTCAGACAGCAGAGGGATTAGGAGTCAGACAGCAGAGGGAATAGGAGTCAGTCAGCAGAGGGAATAGGAGTTAGACAGCAGAGGGAATAGGAGTCAGTCAGCAGAGGGAATAGGAGTCAGACAGCAGAGGGATTAGGAGTCAGACAGCAGAAGGAATAGGAGTCAGACAGCAGAGGGAATAGGAGTCAGTCAGCAGAGGGAATAGGAGTCAGACAGCAGAGGGAATAGGAGTCAGTCAGCAGAGGGAATAGGAGTCAGACAGCAGAGGGAATAGGAGTCAGTCAGCAGAGGGAATAGGAGTCAGTCAGCAGAGGGAATAGGAGTCAGTCAGCAGAGGGAATAGGAGTCAGTCAGCAGAGGGAATATGAGTCAGACAGCAGAGGGAATAGGAGTCAGACAGCAGAGGGGATAGGAGTCAGACAGCAGAGGGGAAGAGCTGGAGTCAGCCACAGAGGGGACGGGAGTGAGTCAGCGGGGGGGGGGGGATAGGAGTGAATCAGCAGGGGGGGGGCAGGAGTCAGTCAGCAGGGGGGACAGGAGTCAGTTAGCAGGGGGGGGGGGCAGGAGCCAGCCAGCAGAGGGACATAAGTTAGTGAGGAGAGCACCAACACTCAGAGGATGCTGAACAGTAACTCAGCAGAGCAAGATCAGGGGATCAGCAAGTGAAATGAACACAGGAACTCAGTATTGGGAACAGACCACAAAGACTCAAAGGACACAATGAAAACAAAGAAGAACACAAAGAAGGAAAGCATTATGAAGGGACTCATGAGCCATCACAGAAATACTAAGCAGATGGAGAACCAGGAAGACAGTTTCATATGTCTTCAGGTATTCACAAGTGAATGACACAAACCCAGGAACTTAATAGGAAAGCAGACAGGCATTTAGCATGGTATGCACACTGCACAGACAACAGAAGTTCAAAAAAGTGTGCTTGAGTAGGTACCTCATCAAGTGCTGCAACATGGACAGCTCCTGAGGCGGCAAAGTAGAAATTGAGCCCGGTGCACCATGGATCCTCCAGCAGGTGATTGTGCAATGCATATAGCCTCACTTGCTGATATGAATAGTTGTCTGACTCTGGGGCCTGGAGAACACCTGGAAAATAAAATACAATGATGAAATAGTCACATTTTTCAGCAAAAAAAAAAAAAAATGATGGCAGCTTCCACAAAAGAGTTAGGATTGGTTATATACAATAGACAATATTGACAGAAATACGCGGCATTAAGTAAGCTAACTGTGATTAATTTATTGTGTGCAGATAGGTACCTAGGCATTATAGGTACCAAAGGCAGGCCATAAAATACCAGTACACCTACCTACTATATCATAAATACCAAGGTGAAATCCAAATGAAAATTATATATGACCTGGCTGGAAATCCTTACCCTGATCAATATTCTTGCTGTAAGTTGGTATTTTGCCAAGATTCAGTTTGTAACCCTCAAAATTTGGGTCTAACAGTTCAAACTTTGGCTTCAACACAACACTAACACGCTCTGCTTCCATCTCCATGTCAATGCTATTTCTTGGCTATTTCCACAGCTAATGTATGCTCAAGTCCTATGCGATCGCTCTAGATGCAACTACCTATACCAATAAAAGTCAAATAATATTAATAATACATTTGCATTACTATTTTGCGAATTGCCATGTTGATGTGACGCTTGGTAGTGCGTTCGATATACAGCTCATACAGCTTTTTGTATCAAAAGTCATGTGGACTTCAACTTTGAACTGAAAATCAATTCAAAACGATATTTTATTTAAAAAGGCCTATAAGATAGTGGATATAATACGACGAGCTGAGCCATTTGCATCGGCATATAGACACCATCATGGACACCATAGAGTATTTCAAAATCTTTTGTAGACTTTTGTTAAAATATCTGAAAATTCACGCGAATTCTAAAAAATATCGTCCTTGAATGGATCGAACGCGAACGCTCTCCGAACGCTCCCAAGCTATCCCCGCGTTCGATGTCTCTCGGACGACGAAGATTCTACGCCGTCCGGCCAATCACGTTCCATAACCGCAGCCGAGTCCCCGCTGACCTTGGACGGGATTGGCCGGACGACGTAGAATCTTCGTCGTCCGAGAGACATCGAACGCGGGGTATCATTTCTGCGGCCATCTGCGGCTTGCGGCGCGGTGTGGTGTGCAGGGGCTTTGGGTAAGATTTGATAATATTTCTTGCGCCCTAACTCTTCAACAACAACAACGATAATATTTCTCTACATTTCATTGGGCTACAAATCCTACAATTCTTAGGAATTTGACTGTTATATATCACAACAATTTGGTTTACTATTGCTATGAAAAGAGCCTTGGCCTTGGCTGTTACTTGTTTATGTGATGGATTCCCTCTTGGATCTTGGATGGTACTAGCATGGATATGGTTCAAGATTGGTACGCCTTGGATGGTACTTTGATGGTACCTAGGAATTCATCGAATTCAATTCATTTCGATTTATGCATTTCATTCATTTCAGTTTATTTCAATTCAAATTGAGTTCAAGTTCATACGAATTCATTCCTGTGATCGTATGAATTTAATTTGATTAATATTTACTTAGTTTTGACTGTTAGAATCTTGGTTGTGACTGCAAAAAAAAAAGATTTTTTAATTGGGCCAGAGAGTTAGTTTATTCAGACATCTTGAGCTAGATTTCAGGCTGCAGCATTGGGCATCAGCTTTCAGCATTGGGCTTTGACATCGATTTCACAACACATTTCTTGAAATGCCTGTGAACGGTGAAAACCTGACCTTTGACCTGACCTGTGATGTCATCGGTTTGACCTAGGTCAATGAAATTTGGTCACAAGGTAGTTCCCGGGTGGGGCTACCGAACGCCGTTTGAATTTTGAAAATCGGCTGGTAAATTTCCGAGATCTTAGGGGGGGGGGCGAAACGCCCTCCCCCTACGGGTGGTAGGGTCCGCCGATAGCCCTATGGGGCGCGGGTTTTAAGCATGATGCTAACATTGACCGTTTGAAAACCTCATCTATTTCCTCAGTATGTATATTTTTTGCTTTGTTTTTGCCCTTTTTGCCTGATGTTTATCTGATTGATTCTTGATTCTTTTATGCATCCTATCCTGCTATCCTCTGGAGACAGAACACAGCCGGAGATCACTGCCTACCCACACATATGCCATTTTTTGTCTTTCACCTTGACCCCTGACCCTGAAGATTGACTTGAGGTCAACAATTTTAGGTATTCTTGAGATGCTCTTGAAGTTGCCTGTCCCGTAGCTCAGTTGGTAGAGCATTGGACTCCCGGTAGTGAGAGCCCGGGTTCGAGACGCTCCGGCGCTCGATATTTGAGACTCCTGACGGGGATGGTCTGCGGTTGGTGGGAGCAGCCGCAGCCAGTTGAAGTCAGTTGAGTGGGACAGGCCGTGTCCGGCTTTGAAGGGCACGTTAAACTTTGGCATCTAAATTCTCCCGTTACCCGGAATTGCGCGATCGGACGGTAGAGGTCGGGGTCTACGCAACAAGCTCTGCTTAGCGTGGGCTTCGGCTCTGTCAATCCGTCCATTCAAACATTCGAGCTAAATTTATATAAAAAAGTTTTGATGATTGTTGAAATGTTTTTGTCCCTCAGAATTTTGCCTTTATCTTCAAATCCAAGCTATGACTGATTGGCAAATTACAAAGAAGACTCTCAATGAGAGATGCCTTTTCCTGTTTGAATCAGGACAATGGCATGATTGTGAGTTTATTGTGGGGATGGAGTCAAATCAGCAGGTAAGATTGTTGTTTTTATACTTAACTTTTAGTTGCTGATGTTTTTCTTTGCTTTGGCATTGTTTCATTACAGAGAGTCAGTGTGATTGGTGGTTACCTACATTATTCCTCAGTGTTTGTTTTCAAAGGCAAGATTATCATCGTCATCATAAACCCAAATGTGGCATTGTGTGCTGAGATGTTAGGTGTTAACAGTTCTGCACTATAACAAGTGGCAGAGCTGTTGGGGATTAACTGGGGCTGACCAGAGTCAGCCGGAGCCCTGCTGTTCACTTAGTCCCTCCACAGTCCACAGTCCAGGTGTGGACTGTGGAGGGTGTCTCCACATGTGCTGAGGGTGTCTCCACTGGTGCTAATGGTGTCTCCACAGGTGCTGGCAGTGTCTCCTCAGGCATTGATGGTGTCTCTCCAGGCATTGACAGTGTCTCCCCAGGACATGCTGACAGTGTCTGCCCAGGTGCTGACAGCCTGACAGTGTCTGCCCAGGTGCTGACAGTGGCTCCCCAGGTGCTGCCGGTGTCTCCCCAGGTGTGTCTCCCTGGGTGCTGACGGTGCCTCCTTGGGTGTGTCTCCCTGGGTGCTGCCGGTGTCTCCCCAGCTGCTGACGGTGTCTCCCCAGGTGTGTCTCCCTGGGTGCTGATAGTGTCTCCCCAGGTGCTGACGGTGTCTCCCGGCTCGGCAGGTGTTCCAGGCCCACAGACTGGTGCTGACCATGGCCAGCCCCGTGTTCGAGGCCATGCTGTTCGGCGGTATGGCCGAGAAGGCCCCCATCAAGGTCCTGGACGTCAGCCCAGAGGCGTTTAGGAGCCTTATGCTGTGAGTACCTACTGACATCATAAACATTGAATTGTATAGGGTAGGTTGGGTGGGGGTAATTTGAATTTGGAACAGGTGGGACAATTTGAGCATTGTGTGAATAACACAAAATTACGGAAAATCCATAAGTGGCTCGACATTAAGCCCAATGGGGAAATTATCGTAACTATAAGTCTATTTGTAACTACAGTATATTATCGTATATTTGTCCTCTCCGTGGCCGAGTGGATAAAAGCGCCAGAATTCGACGCTTAGCCGGAAGTGAGAGCCCGGTTCGAGCCCCGGTGCGGGCGGCCACATTTAGCTCCTACGTGTAATGGCTTGCGTGTCTGTGGCAGGGCCGCACAGAAGCCAGGTAACGTGAGTGAGCGGAGGGGACCGTGTCCAGTCGTGAGGGCACGTTAAACGTTCGGACAAAATTCTGCCATACAACGAATTGCGCGATCGGGTGGTGGGGTCAGGGTCAGCACAACAAGCTATGCTTAGTGCGGGCTCTGATTCCTCAAATCCGCCCATTCAGCCATTCGGACTAAATTTATAAAAAAAGAAAATAATAAGGGCTATCATTCGTATGAACGGGGTTGAAAGTTTCAGGGAATGAAGATGTTGACGCAAACTGTACAAAAACAATTTGTAAGTAAAAACGACCAACAACACGGCATTGCAACTTCATTGCAGCGCAAAATCTTAGATTGGTAGTGCCTAATATGCAACGGGTGTTGTTGTAAAATGAACTAATTAGTGCCTTCAATCCATGAAATTTGCTTTTGAAACCTATTTAAATATGACAAAGACTTTTATCGTGGGGTACTTTGAACATGGTTTGAGAATTTCAATGAAGACAGGAAGAGCACCGAAAAAAAACGACGCTGCTAGTATTTTTTTTTTTGTGCAAATATCGACCCAAAGCGGTAGCAGATAAGCGATGCCAGTTTAAAAAATGTTATGTCTTATGTCCATCCAATGTCCGGCATTTTCGTTGGTTTTCCGTCCAAAAATGTTGAAGTCAGTCATTTGTCCAAATATGTCCGAAAATTACGCAGTAATCAACACTCAAAACTCATTTAACTTGCTTATAATGTAATTTTACCAGCCGGAAAGTGTTCATTATATTAACCCGCGCCCCACTGGGGTCTGTGTATAACGCGCCCTTCTGGGGGGAGGGGGAGGGGGCGGCTATTCATAGCCCCCCCCCCCTCCTAACTCCGAAACTATTACGATTAGAGCCTTATCAATTGTCATTCGTATGCGAGAATAAAAACGGGTACACACTGTGTAAACTGCTGTAGGTGAAACGAAAGCAAATAATTGTAAGTAAAAAAAAAAAACTGCGATTGCAGCATGATGGCAAATGATTAGATCACCGCCAAGCCAAAAGAGGTACGGCTTTTTGTGACCCGGCATTAGAAGCAGGAGGCTTTAGGGATCATTGACATGTATAATTTTTGCAGCTTGTATGAAATGAGCGCACGCTAGCGGCGTTTGAACTTGCACGTACCTGACAGTCATTTTACGACATAGAAAATGTCACGACTTCGGACAATCATACGCGAGGCCGGTTTTGACAAAAAAACATGAAAACTATGTGATTTCAGATGCCCCAAACATTTCTTTGGCTGGCCATATCGTGATTTACTCGGTTTGGTTAACTTGACTTTTTGGTATTTATGGCCACTCGTGAACCCCATTTGCATCACTGTGTACCGCAAGGTCCGGAGCGTCTGTTACGGCTCCAAAGTCAAGCCGGCGTGGAATTGGGAGAGCTGGGGCACCCCCAGCTCGGCACAAAATTCTGCCTATGCTAGACGGTTCGTTTCTTGGGAATTACATACATTGGATTATTATTGTAATTGTTATTGTAAGTAGCTTGTATTCTTGTATTCTTGTATTGCATAATATCACCAACAGGCATGATCCCTATGATAGGTGAAGTCAAAAGATAAAATACGAAAAAAAACATGCACAATAAACTATCATAATAAAAACAGTATTCTCATGTACATTGCCCTAGAGTCTCACGGATCCGGTATAGAGGACGAGGCGCCTCTTGATGCTTCCAACAGGATCACATAACACATCAGTTTGAGGCTGGGCTTCCAGAAATTTGTTGGTGGCACGAGGACAGCGCGTAAACAGGCCGTTTGCAATGCAGTTCACTCGCCCACGCGGCACATGGAACAATGTCGACACAGCGCTGCGTGTCGCTCTGAGCGGAGCGTGTAACGAGAACGACCGTAGAAGATGAGAGGATGACACCGAACCTTTGAATACCTTGCACAAAAATATAATGTCACTCTCAATGCGCCTGGCATGTAGCGATCTCACGTCGAACAGCTTCAGCAGGTAATGATATTCAATCGAGTCATGGTGAACGTTCGTCATGTTTGCCAGCCAAATCAAAAACTTGTGTTGGACACGTTCCAAACGCACGAGATGACACTTGGAAGCACCGGCCCAAACTACAGAACAGTACTCTAGGATGGCCCTAACATTTGCATTGAATGCCGCGAACACTGCTCTCCTGTCCAGTTTGCACCGCGGAGAGGTCGCCTGGAGGCTCCGCATGAGTAGCCCTAGTGCCCGATTTGCCTTTGAAACAATCACATTTGTATGGTCTGCAAAAGTAAGTTTTCGGTCAAGTACCACACCCAAATCACGAATCGAAGTCACTTCCTGCAGAGTGCTACCACTGATTTGATACACAGATGGATATATGTCTCTTTTGAGCGTGATTTTAAAAGTTTTACACTTCGAGGGATTCAGCTTGAGCCCCCAGACCGCCGCCCATTCCGTTACAGCATCAATATCGTTCTGGAGCTGTATTATTGTAGTTCCTAGGACACAAACGCTTGGAGGAGGTGCCAGTCCCAGCACTCGGGCGCTGGCCAGGCGGCGCCGGGGACCGTGTCTGGGCGGCCTACAGCGTGCTGTTTGATTGGGCCGGCCGGCGGTCACGTGACCGTCTGGTCGTGGGTCGGCGGTCGGCCGGCCGCCGGTCACGTGACCGTCTGGTCGTGGGTCGGCGGCCGGCGGTCACGTGACCGTCTGGTCGTGGGTCGGCGGTCGGCGGTCACGTGACCGTCTGGTCGTGGGTCGGCGGCCGGCGGTCACGTGACCGTCTGGTCGTGGGTCGGCGCGGCGGCCGGCGGGCGACCGCGGGCCAGTTCCGTATAATAAAGGCGAGATGTTGCACGGGCTCCCTGCGTGTAGAAGGAGGGAGGCGCGCGCGGTGACAGGGGGCTCCCCTTATGACGTCAGACCGGATCACTACCACCAGCTGATTGAGCTGCGCGAGGTTCAGGACGGAGCTTGGAGCCGAACGTTGAACTCTAACTTTGACCGCGGGCTGTCACTCGCCCACCGCCGCTCCGCAGTGAACCTGCTGACGCCGCCGGCCTGCCGGCAGGTACATCTACTCGGACCAGATCAACCTGCAGTCGTTCGACCAGGCGTGCGAGATCTGCTACGCGGCCAAAAAGTACATGCTGCCCCACCTGGTGGAGCACTGCACCAAGTTCCTCTGGAAGGACCTCGAGCCGCACAACGTCTGCCGCGCATACGAGTTCGCCAAACTCTTCGAGGAGCCAGTGCTCATGGAAAAGTGCATGAAGGTCAGTATCGCTGCTTTTAGTCACTTAACGTCCTCTTATTTTGAACATCTTTACAGTATGCTGCTTTTTTGTGTTAATAAATTCCTATTACTTTTAATTTAGTCATTGACTGTGCTCAAAACTCACTTCGATGCTTCGGTAATCTTGGTTTCGATCCTCGGATAAGTTGTGAACGGCATTTTGAAACATGACGTGGCTTGCGTTTAGAAGCGTGTTGACTTTGTTCGACTGTAAAGCCATGGGATCTTCCCTTGCCCCCTGCTCGGCCGATATGGGGCAGCTGTGCATGTGTCGAGTACAGCTTCTGGCGGTGGACGGTGGTGGCGGTAGGCCTGTTGTCGCCACAGTGCGCTCCACCGTCCCTGCCCGTTTCAGATCATCACCCAACAGACGGCCAAGGTGATCGCCACGTCGGCCATCGAGGACGTCGAGCACGCGTCGCTGATCGCCATTCTGGAGCAGGTGAGCCCGCGCCGGCCGTCCCCCTCGCCCCAGGGGCCGTCACACCGTCTGAAAGGTGGCGGGCTGAGCACACTGGATGTTTGACGCTCTCTAAAGCGTCATTAGGTGGTGTTCGTACGAGTAACTATTCAGCGGCTTTTTTTGCTACCTGCGCATTTTATACCGTCATTTTAGAGGTGAAATGTTGAAATTATATGAATCAATCCATGAAATATTTGTTTCTTGACAAGTACAATGTACATGGTGTTGTTTTGTGACCTCCGTTTTAAAATTCCATGATTATGGCGAAGGAATCAATGCAGATAATGTTTGTTTATCCGGCCTCGGCTGGATAGCGATGTAAAGCACAGCTGTTTCCAACGCTGCTAGCCGCTCCGCTGCACCGCGGTGCTCTGTTGTGATGTGCCGATGGCCTTTGTCGCGCAGGACTATCTGAATATCACCTCGGAGCTGGACATATTTAACGTGCTGGTGCGCTGGTCCCGCAAGGAATGTCAGCGACGGCCACTGGAGGTCAACGCCGTCAACCAGCGCATGGTACTCGGCGACGCGCTCTACCGGGTGAGTAGCGACAGCGGGCTCCGTGCGCTGGGTGGGTAGCGACAGCGGGCTTCCTGCGCTGGGTGAGTAGCGACAGCGGGCTTCCTGCGCTGGGTGAGTAGCGACAGCGGGCTTCCTGCGCTGGGTGAGTAGCGACAGCGGGCTCCCTGTGCTGGGTGAGTAGCGACAGCGGGCTCCGTGCGCTGGGTGAGTAGCGACAGCGGGCTTCCTGCGCTGGGTGAGTAGCGACAGCGGGCTTCCTGCGCTGGGTGAGTAGCGACAGCGGGCTTCCTGCGCTGGGTGAGTAGCGACAGCGGGCTTCCTGCGCTGGGTGAGTAGCGACAGCGGGCTTCCTGCGCTGGGTGAGTAGCGACAGCGGGCTTCCTGCGCTGGGTGAGTAGCGACAGCGGGCTCCCTGTGCTGGGTGAGTAGCGACAGCGGGCTCCGTGCGCTGGGTGAGTAGCGACAGCGGGCTCCGTGCGCTGGGTGTCGGCAGGAGCTCCCTGTGCTGGGTGTCGGCAGGAGCTCCCGGTACTGGGTGTCGGCAGGAGCTCCCGGTACTGGGTGTCGGTGGGGGCTCCCTCTACTGGGTGTCGGCAGGAGCTCCCGGTACTGGGTGTCGGTGGGGGCTCCCTCTACTGGGTGTCGGCAGGAGCTCCCGGTACTGGGTGTCGGCAGGGGCTCCCGGTACTGGGTGTCGGCGGGGGCTCCCTGTACTGGGTGTTGGTGTGAGCCCCCGGTACTGGGTGTCGGCAGGAGCTCCCGGTGCTGGGTGTCGGCAGGAGCTCCCTGTGCTGGGTGTCGGCAGGAGCTCCGTGTACTGGGTGTCGGCAGGAGCTCCCGGTACTGGGTGTCGGTGGGAGCTCCCGGTACTGGGTGTCGGCAGGAGCTCCCGGTACTGGGTGTCGGCAGGTCGAGCTCCCTGTATGTAGGGGAGAGTGGGACACATAGTGTCATTTTTACAAGATTGGCTATGGCGCCCACACTTTCAACAGCTGGTGTTTGATACTTGCCTGGTATATTCCCTACAGCAAGAACTTCAAATGCCCTGTTGGTGCTCCGGTTGCATTTCAATGGGTTTCGACGCTAGAGATTTCATCAAATATGGTCGCACGTATGTTGTATTGATAGTAGGTACCAGACCTTGCCAAGAAAAAAAACAAACATCTCAAATTACAACAGTATACCTGCGCTCGATAGTTTTCGAGTTTAGATTGCACTATATAGGTACTGGTTTTAGGCCTGGATAATGGACACTGGACAGGGCCTGTTGGTGTTCTGTACTGAATAGTTTTTAAATTTTGGATGCCGAGTCTGAAAGTCATGTTCATAAAGTCACCAGTGGGCAGTGATCTCCATCGCGTGCGGCCAGGGGTGTCCTGACGTCCTGAGTCCTGAGTCATCCTGTCTCTGACAGCCTCCAGGTGCGCTACCTGACCCGTCTGGTGCGGTACCTGACCCGCCGTCCTGACCCGCCGTCCTGACCCGCCGTCCTGACCCGCCGTCCTGACCCGCCGTCCTGACCCGTCAGGTGCGGTACATGTCCCGCCGTCCTGACCCGCCAGGTGCGGTACCTGACCCGCCGTCCTGACCCGTCTGGTGCGGTACCTGACCCGTCGTCCTGACCCGTCGTCCTGACCCGCCAGGTGCGGTACCTGACTTATCCGCTCCCTGACCCGCCAGGTGCGGTACCCTCGGCTACAGGCTGATCGGTACAGGGACCATATGATAGGTCCTACGGCAGCCAGGGGGCTCGCGGGGGACTCACGAGCCCCTCCGACTTTTCAGCCGGGGACTCGTTTTATGTTTTTGAGCTCCCTCGCCCCAGTGCGAGACATGTAAATCTAGCAACACCCAGATCTACCAACTCTTCTCGGAATGAAGAAATAATAATACCGGGGATGGACGTCTTCTGGCGACCCGAGCCGCTGCCATACGGCGTGGATAGGCTGTGCCGTTTAATAATAAGTCAAGTGACACAGTCTACCAGCACCAGGTGACAGCTATTGTCAGCTCTTAGGCAAAAATAACCGGTGAATAGTCACTATCGACCAAACTGTAGCCGACCGTACCTGACCCTCCGCCAGTTGCGGTACCTGACCCTCCGTCCTCTCTCTCTCTCTCTCTCTCTCTCTCTCTCTCTCTCTCTCTCTCTCTCTCTCTCTCTCTCTCTCTCTCTCTCTCTCTCTCTCTCTCTCTCTCTCTCTCTCTCTCTCTCTCTCTCTCTCTCTCTCTCTCTCTCTCTCTCTCTCTCTCTCTCTCTCTCTCTCCTCTCTCTCTCTCTCTCTCTCTCTCTCTCTCTCTCTCTCTCTCTCTCTCTCTCTCTCTCTCTCTCTCTCTCTCTCTCTCTCTCTCTCTCTCTCTCTCTCTCTCTCTCTCTCTCTCTCTCTCTCTCTCTCTCTCTCTCTCTCTCTCTCTCTCTCTCTCTCTCTCTCTCTCTCTCTCTCTCTCTCTCTCTCTCTCTCTCTCTCTCTCTCTCTCTCTCTCTCTCTCTCTCTCTCTCTCTCTCTCTCTCTCTCTCCTCTCTCTCTCTCTCTCTCTCTCTCTCTCTCTCTCTCTCTCTCTCTCTCTCTCTCTCTCTCTCTCTCTCTCTCTCTCTCTCTCTCTCTCTCTCTCTCTCTCTCTCTCTCTCTCTCTCTCTCTCTCTCTCTCTCTCTCTCTCTCTCTCTCTCTCTCTCTCTCTCTCTCTCTCTCTCTCTCTCTCTCTCTCTCTCTCTCTCTCTCTCCTCTCTCTCTCTCTCTCTCTCTCTCTCTCTCTCTCTCTCTCTCTCTCTCTCTCTCTCTCTCTCTCTCTCTCTCTCTCTCTCTCTCTCTCTCTCTCTCTCTCTCTCTCTCTCTCTCTCTCTCTCTCTCTCTCTCTCTCTCTCTCTCTCTCTCTCTCTCTCTCTCTCTCTCTCTCTCTCTCTCTCTCTCTCTCTCTCTCTCTCTCTCTCTCTCTCTCTCTCTCTCTCTCTCTCTCTCTCTCTCTCTCTCTCTCTCTCTCTCTCTCTCTCTCTCTCTCTCTCTCTCTCTCTCTCTCTCTCTCTCTCTCTCTCTCTCTCTCTCTCTCTCTCTCTCTCTCTCTCTCTCTCTCTCTCTCTCTCTCTCTCTCTCTCTCTCTCTCTCTCTCTCTCTCTCTCTCTCTCTCTCTCTCTCTCTCTCTCTCTCTCTCTCTCTCTCTCTCTCTCTCTCTCTCTCTCTCTCTCTCTCTCTCTCTCTCTCTCTCTCTCTCTCTCTCTCTCTCTCTCTCTCTCTCTCTCTCTCTCTCTCTCTCTCTCTCTCTCTCTCTCTCTCTCTCTCTCTCTCTGCCGGGTGATTTATCTGACCCGCGGTTCTGACACCCTGCCGGGAGCGGTATCTGACCCGCCCTCTTGCTCCGCCAAGTGCGGTATCTGACCCCCCGCCCCCCTGCTCCGCCAAATGCGGTATCTAACCCGTCCTCTCTCTGGCCCTCTGCCGGGAGCGGTATCTGACCCGCCCTCTTGCTCCGCCAAGTGCGGTACCTGATCCTCCTTCCTGACCCTCCGCCAGGTGCGGTACCTGATCCGCCAGGTGCGTTACTCAAGGCCCGCGTTACTGACCCGTCCTCTCTCTCTCTCTGGCCTTCTCTGACCCGCTGTCCTGTCCCTCCGCCAGGTGCGTTACTGACCCGCCAGGTGCGTTACGTGACCCGCCGGGTACGGTACTGACCCGCCGGGTACGGTACCTGTACCTGACCATCCGTCCTGACCCGCCGGGTACGGTACTTGACCCTCCGTCCTGACTCTCCTCCGCCAGGTGCGCTATCTGACGATGAATGCCACCACGTTCGCCAACGGTCCGGCCGTGTCGGGCCTGCTCTCGCCCGAGGAGAGTCTGGCCATCGTCATGAACATCCTGACGCCGGGCAAGTGGCCGCTCCCGGACCACCTGGACGGCTCGACGCTGCCGCGCGGCGCGTGCCCGCCGGCGCCGGCGGCGGCGGCCGACAGCCAGCTGCCGGGCGGCAGTCGGCGGCTCTGCGCGCGGCCCATCCTGGGCGAGCCGCACCAGCTGATCCGCTGCCAGGAGGAGGCCTCGCTGACACTGTCGGTGGACCGTCCCGTGCACACGCTGGGCATCATGGTGCCCTCGCAGGTGACGGACATCCCCACCGACTGGCTGCCGTCCCAGTCGCTGCGCAATACGCCCGGCGCCAACCTCAACTACGGCCAGAACGGCTACATGGAGCTACTGTACGCGTACGTGGCCGACTCGGACAACCAGCGGCTCACCTACACACACTTCACGTCGCGCGTCAACTACAACGACCTGGTGGAGATCCTCTTCAACCGGCCGGTGCTGATGCAGCCCGGCCGCGTCTACCGCATCGGCCTGGTGCTCAACAAGCTCGGCTGGTACCCGATGGGCGTCAGCACCACTCAGGTGCACGCCAGCGGCGTCACCTTCAGCTTCGGCATCGGGAAGCCGGGCGACAACGTCAAAAACGGACTGGTCAGGAAGATAGTGTTCAGCACGGACGGCGTGCCCGACCTGTGAGCGGCGGACGGCGCGGCGTGCCGGCGATACTCGACGCAGCTGTGAGTACCGTGTGCTCGGGTCCCCAATAGCCTGCCATATTGTGCTGAGCGTATTTGAAGTTGAACAAAATTTGGTAGTCGTGGGGTCGATCGGTCGATTCTGCTCTTATATGGTACATCGATTTTGTATTAGAGAAGCCACGTATCAGTGATGTTTGAGAGGCTGTTTGGTCTCCTCGTGTGAGTAGTTTTGTTTGTACATAGTTTTGTTTGTAGTTAGTTTCATAAATTACAATCCTGTCGAGTGGTAGAGGATCCTACGCAGGTTTGCAATAGTATCATGGAGCTGCTGCTAAATTTGTGCTGAGGTGGCGATCCACTATTGATGAACAGCCAGGGAAGCCGCCGGAGCGTTTCGCTGTTACTGCTATGTGCTCTAGGCCGCGTGTCTTTCTCCAGTCGCTGAGACCTAAAAGGGCCACTGTGTTTGTGTATCACCTTTCTGGTACCTGCTGCGCCTCCTTCGTCCCTCTATTCACCCGGGTGGCTCCAGCGGCCGATTTCGTAAAGCCCGGTAATATCTTACATCAGGGTGTATTTTACTTCCTAAGAAACAACGCCCTGTAGAAGTGAGTGCTGTTACTGGGATGAGAGGGCGTATTATGCGCCAGTAAATGTATGCTTTGGTTAGTTTTGGTCCGTATTTTACTACACTGGCCTATATTATAGTAAATAACATAATTCATATAGTTACATCCGTATTTGCTTTATTAACCCTCGCATGTGTGCGGCGTTTGCCAGCTTCTAATGTGTAGGGGGGGGGGGGTCGGTTGGACCCCCCCTTGCCGTTTGGCCCCTGATCGAGCTAGAGCTTCGCGGAAAAAAACGAGCGTGTTGCCCGTGACGAGAGGAAGCCGATGATACCCAATTTTAAGGTCCTAGGTCATTGGTTGACCTTCCAGGTCAGGTCAATGACCCAAAGTCGGGAAAATCGGGACCTGTTAGAAAGTCGTAAAGTGTGGCTGCTTAGGGGTTTTTCGGGGTGCTGATCACGAATATCGTGTTAGTTTTGATCACAGATGATGTCTTGAAGCATTTAGACCAGGTCGGGTCAGGTCAGGTCAGGTCAACCAGTAGGCGTCGTGACGGGTATTCGTAGTACGTGTCAACCGCCTCTGACAGCTTCGTAACATGTTACGAAGTCACCAAAACTACTTCGTAAATGTTCAAATGGTTGCTAAATTCGAATTCAGCTCCAAAAACTAGCCTAGAAACATGTAAAACTCGAAAAAGTGACCCGAGGTCACCCGAGGTCACCAAAGGTCAATGACCTGACCTGACCTTCAGGTGACCTTGACACACACGGGAGTAACATCAAATCACATGTTTGAACGTTTGAAACCACGAAAAGCTTGCAAACACGCGGCTAGTGCGAGCCGACATACGCGAAATCGCGATTCCGGCTAAACATGGTCTCGGAAAAGAGGTCACAGGTCAAAGGTCATTTGGGTCAAGGTCATGAAATTTTCAGGGTAGGTGTAAAATTGATCAATGCGAGGGTACTGAAAGTTTCGTCGCGATCGGCCGCTTTTTACGCGAGTTATTCGCGAAAAACCATGGGGGGGGTCCATCCGACCCCCCCCCCTACACATGCGAGGGTTAAGCCGCTTGGGCGTAAAATGCAGGAAATCGGGTTGGCGAACAGCTGTGCCAGTCGTATTTAACGCCTTTTTTATGAAATCGGCCGCTGGATGGGAAATCGCTTAGCAAACACGTGACAGAAAACACCAGCCGGTACTTGGCCTCCGTACTGCCGGAAGAATACTGTATAGGGCTGTACCATTCACTGCACTGGGGCGGACCACATCGCCACCCCTCACTGATGGGATGCCACGGTAACCAGTCGACACTAGCGCAATGTCCGATAGCCGACTGTACCGTACCGCGCGCCCCGACCCTACCCCGTGGGCCCGTCCCACCCCAAAGCGTTCAGTCGTGTGCTGCTCCCGCGCCCTCATCACAAGGAGCGGGGGCGCGGTACCCTATCAGGGACCCGCGTGGGTAGGGTGAACGCAGCTTCGTCACGTCACTCGGACCCCGTCCCGTCGCCCCAAGGGAGCGCATCTTCTGGTGGCCGGGGGAGGAAGGCTGTCGGTGCGGTCCGACCTCCTCAGGAACTCGCAGACTGGTTGTGCATGGAGATTGAGAAATCCGAACACTTACAACAGTGTTACTCCTATAATAATAAATGACATGGGAAAACAAGTAAAGGAAGTACTCCGCACTTCAATAATTGTACATTTTTAGCCTATTTTCATCTGCGTATGGTCATGGATCATATGCATGACTACGGTAGGCTATCTAGTATCTACATACATACATTTGATACATCGTCTCCCAATTCGCTTATTCACTTGCTCTCATACTTCGTGTTTCAAACTGCATACCAAAAAAAGAAAAAAGAACAAGTGGTAACATGACACGTATGATGTACTACATCAAAGGTAAAACAATGCATCGGTGTAGTGCACAAGGCACAAGATAATCAGGACGACCGGCCGGACTCTGGTACTCTGCGCTCGCCATCCCCACTCTGTCGTATTTCCGTCACCCTACACACCACATACGCGCACATTCGTGCTGTGCTTTTTACAGACGAACTCGCTGCACCTGCCGCGTGGAGGGTACTTGGGCAGCTTTTCCTTGGCCTACCGGTGGCCGGAGCCACGCCCACCACTCGGCTCCTGCAGGCAGAGGACACACCCTCCACGTGCCGCCCTCTCGGCTGCGGCTGGGAGCTGCTGGCGAGCGGCCTCCTGTCCCGTGACAGCCGCGAGTGCAGCCAGAGTGTCGCTGTTTGAGCCGACTGGGTTCGCCGGCCGCTCCTGAAGGCGGGGCTTAACTAGCTCCTGACCAAGAGCCAGGTGCATTGCCCTCCTGTCGGAACCCCTCGTTAAACCACGGTTGAGAAGCAGCACACTGAAACCAGTCACTTACGTTACACCTATAATTATAAAGAAAACCGCCGTGTTGGCCGCCTCCTGAGCGTTGGTTTTCCCATGGCTGTTTCCAGCATGGAGTCGACGACGTCGACACCTCCTTTGGTCGAGTTGTAGTACAGGATGACCTCTGGTTTCCTTGTCTTCTCATCTACGATTGGAGTCTCGTGCTGGGTAGAGAGAGCCATCACCACCTTCCTTGGCTTCGGGCAGTGGGACGCCAGGGTGACACCGTTTCTGAACGTGAACATGCTGCTGCCCGGCTCCCGGTTCTGAGGGTTTGCCAGCTCAGCGGAACATGCTGCTGCCCGGCTCCCGGTTCTGGGGGTTTGTCAGCTCAGCGGGCGGCAGTCTCCTGCTGCCCAGCCCCGGTTCTGGGGGTTTGTCAGCTCAGCGGGCGGCAGTCTCCTGCTGCCCAGCCCCGGTTCTGGGGGTTTGTCAGCTCAGCGGCCGGCAGTCTCCTGCTGCCCGGCTCCCGGTCTGGGGGTTTGTCAGCTCAGCGGCCGGCAGTCTCCTGTTCTTGTTTAGCGTCCCGACGACAGTGAGCCGCTCGGCGGCCGGCTCCTGTGCCCGGGACACGGACGTGTAGACTGTAGAACCGGTCCGGCGTGACGCTCCGTCCCGACCCCATCACCTCCTGCAGCAGGTAGCGGACGGTCTCGTTGACACCGTCGAGCTGGACGAAGGGCGGTGCTTGTTCAGGCGCCTCCGGTTCGCCCGATTACGTCCACAGCTTCCAGAAGTAGCGCTGGTTGGCGTCAGCGGCCGCGCGGAACAGTATTCCGTACCTTCCCGGCTTGCTTGGGAGGTACATTTTCCGCTGCCCTGCAACATAGATACCATTAACATCCCAACACCTTACACGCGTCATACATCGCCTGACTATCTAACACCCAAGGCAAACGGTAATTATCCTCTACTCGAACTATACCGATATCAAATTCAAACGCCACCAGATTCCTTCCTTTACCATCGCAACCCAGACCCCTGGAAACAATGCGACTAGCTGAACTTAAGATGTATTGCTTGCATTCGTTGCATTGCATCGCAAACAGCAAACCATGCCCATCACCGCGCATCCACAAATAACGGTGGTACCACCCACAGACCAGCACCACCACCGTTTTTTTTTTTTTAACGAATATTTTACATAATCTGACCCGCTACTATTCAGAAGAAGACCGGCGCGTCGCTTACATCAAGTGACGCTCAGCAGACGTGTTTCCTCGGACATACCTGCGCACGGCCCGCGACCGCCACCTGCCGGCCTCTGCCAGCTGTAACTCAGACATACCTCTCATTGCGCCGTGAGATGCCCCGCCAATACGAAGATAGTGGCCCGAAACCCCGGTTGTTGACATGCGGCACTCTCGAGCCACCATCTTCATCACGGCAGACAGCCTGGCCGAGTCGATCGGAGCACCCGAGGCGTCGATATGAAGAACTGTGCTCCTCCATCGGGACGCACCTGAAGGAAGTCCGGAACTGCTTGGACCGGGCAGCATCCCAACCCCGGCCTAGCGTCAATTATTATGGTTTGGGGTGTGATGGATGTCTTCGAGGAGGGGACCCGAACGGTGAGCTTACCCCCGGATAGGGATATGTCCGTCCATTTGATTGTGTGCTGGGCGGTGGCACCCCGCACGAGTTCCCCCGGCCTGAGGAGTCCGAAAAAAAAAAAAAACAGAAAAATCGCGCGGAAGGCCGCTCGGTCTACCCGCCGAAGACCGACTACATACAGTTTATCTACAAAGCGCAAGATTTCCTCTAGTGTAAGAGCCCTCCGATTATCCGCCGACGTTCTCAGCCTCTTCGCCCCCTGTAACAGCTGCTTGATCAGAAAGCTGCCCGTAGGATCAGGCAAACCGCGTACCTTGTGCCCATATGCGATAGCTGACGCATGTGAGGTTAAAGTCGACGACTGGAGACCTTTGTCATACAAGGCAGCTAAGTATTCCGCCACTGCGTCCACGGGCATCGGGAACGCTAATTTCTGACCCGGGAGGTGATTGGTGGCCACCTGCTGCCACACGCGGTTGTAGAAAGATCTTGTGGCGGGGGCCAGGGCAGGGTTACAGGACAATTTGCCGAACTGCATTTTGCCGAATGCTTATTCGCCGAATGTCAATATGTCGAATGCATTTTGCCGACGTGTCTTTTTGCCGACGTGTCAAAAGGGCGAAGTGCTAAAAGTCGAAATGCAATTTGCCGACATGCCTTTTTGCCGACGTGCAATAAGTCGAAAATGTCAATTTGCCGAAATGTCAATTTGCCGAAAAGTCAATTAGTCGAAATGTCAATTCGTCGAAATGCTAATTTGCCGAAATGCTAATTAGTCGAAATGTAAATTTGCCGAAATGTCAATTTGCCGAAAAGTCAATTAGTCGAAATGTCAATTCGCCGAAATGCTAATTTGCCGAAATGCTAATTAGTCGAAATGTTAATTTTCCGAAGTGTCAATTAATCGAAATGTCAATTTACCGAAAAGTCAATTAGTCGAAATGTCAATTCGCCGAAATGCCAATTAGCCGAAATTAACTTAACCTAGCCTAACCTAACCTAACCTAAACTGACCCGTAAGTATTAACTTTAGGACCGACTCGCTTTTCAAAGGTAAAGAAACCCACTTA